AAGCTTGCAGTGGAAGTCACTGCCAGACCAGGCCTGGTGGAAGCAGCGGATCTGTTACAAACCCAAGGTCCAAGCAGGCTCTCCACTGTCGTATGTTTGTGTCCGGTTAGGAATTGAGTAAGAAAAGAGAGGGCTGTTACTAAAGCAAAGCTGTTCCCGACACCTATGCCTGTTAACAGCACAAGAAGGCAACCGTACACGCACTAAACCAAGAAATTCCCACGGCTGGAAGGAGGGGGCTTAGAGGCAGGTCGTTAAGGAAAATGCTGGTTCCCACGGGTCCTCAGTGAGGACGAGCGGAGGGACTCCCTGCAGATCCACCGGGCTCTCTCTGAGGGTCCACGGGAGGCGAGAGGAGGTACTTACTACAAATCTACTTTGCACTTTTTCTAGGAGTCTTTTCTCATTTAGGGCCATAGCTTCGCCGTTCCTCCTTTTTATTCTTTTCTTTAGCATCTTTTTACAGGCATACATTTTCCCTGTAGCTCTCACTTGACAGGCATAAACCTAGTTTTAAAGAGAAAAGAAGAGGTTGACACGGAGCTGGGATTCCCCAGGCTACAGGGAAAACTGTCTTCTGTGATAAGCCTCTGTCAGAGCAGCAGCAGAACTGGCCGAGCCAAGACCACTGCCATGGTCACTGTTGAGTTTCTGAGCCGGCCCCTTCCTCCCCTCGGCTCCCTTGTCTACGGCAGGGCGCTGGGGCAATCACGTGAAATACATGCTCTAAAACCCAGGACAGTGGGCAGACGGGACTTGTTCATATGTGATCGTGGTGCAACTCTTTAACATATCTCCCTCCTTTTTTGTACAAAAGCAAAAGTTTTAGAAACTAGATTCTTGATTTTTTAGAAAGTTCAAGAATATTAGAAAATATATTTTACAGAACTCATAGACTTTCATACATTTATTATACTTAGTTTTAAAGTCATATTTACATATTACTTAATTTTATATTATGAACATTTTCAAACATATAAAAGTGGAGAGAACAGTATAGTAAGCCTCCAGGTACCAGTCCCCAGGCTCTGGACTATGAGTCTATGGCTGACTCCCACCCACATCTCACACACACACCCAACCCCCCACATCCCATACACACCTACTGCACAACCACACACATACATACACACACACAATCCCCCACATCCCATACACACCTGCTCCACAACCACACACATACACACACCAAACAAGGATTACTTTAAAAGCAAATATAAAACATGACATAATTTTACCCATCAATAAAATAAACCTGATGATAAAATATAAGGTTTACTGTGAAAAGCATTTCAAGTATTTAAAAGGACAATGATTAAAAACTCATCTGAAATCCCAAGAAAACTATCATTAATATTTTTCTGGATAGCTTCCAGTCCCCCTCCGTACATGTACATGTAAGAACATGTACCTCGCTCCCGCCCACCCCTGGCTAACATGTTCCTACTAAACTCACTTTTAAAACCCATGTGTCTATAACAAGAACTTCATTCTTTTGTCAACACAAGACCCATGTGCTTGAAACTCCGTTTCCTATTTCTTTGAGTTTTACGCTTGGACATCATGAAAGGAAGGACGGGAGGAACTCAAGAGGTGTCCACACAGGGTGGATTTCCCACAGAAACATCATTACGAAGGTGTAGACAACAAGCACTAGGTTGGATTATGCAAATATTCTCAAAGGTCTGGAGCACTGCCCCGGCTGGTGTGGCTCGGTGGGTTGGGGATCATCCCCAACACCAAAAGGCAACAGGCCTGGGCTGTGGGCTCGATCCCTGGTGGGGCGCGTGCAGGAGGCAGCCGATCAATGTTTCACCCTACATAGACGTTTCTTTCTCTCTTTCTCCCTTCCTCTCCTTCAAGAATCAATCTTTAAGAATATTTTAAAATAATAACAACCACTACATAAAAGGTTGGAGAACTGAACCAGGGTGCGGCACCGCTGATTCTCTTGCGGTGATGGCTGCGTGGACCACGTTCCTGCCCTGGCCCAGCGGATCTCCCTGGTAGTGTGTCACCTCTTGGGTCAGCTTTCCAATTGTGTGAAAGGAATGCGTGTGGCCTTGGCTGTGGCTTTGGCGTGGAGTTGGGGAGCATGTGTGATTTAAACACAGGCGGGCAGTGTAAGCCCTCTGACAGCACCCACTTTCGTTTCCCTCTGGCTCCCCTGGCTCTGGGCCTTCTAAACGCCTGCACTGAATATGACCACCGCAGATAATGCACGAAGCAGCGGCGTCTCCTTAAATCACCTCGACAGAGTGCCCGTGCGTCTCTGTCCACCCACCACGGAGGGCTCTACCTGGCACGGCCATCACGTTTACAAACCATCTCTCATGAATTTGTGGGTAGTTTCCCCAGGATTTTCCTAAACGTACACATTCTCTAACACTGTTTGGTAGAGGTGGAAGGTGAATATATGTGCAAACCGAGTTGAGTTGAATAAGCACATATAATAACATGCTTTTGTCCTACATGAACTTTTAGGCTAGCCCTAAATTACGGAAGTATAGTCACAACAATTCACAACATAGAAACAGAACTATCAGCCCCGGCCGGGTAGCTCAATTGGTTAGAGTGTCATCCCGATACACCAAAGTTGTGGGTCCGATCTCCAGTCGGGGCACATATGAAAATTAAGCAATGGATGCATAAATTACGTGGAACAACAAGTCGATGTTTCTCTCTCTTCCTAAAAAACAAACAAACAAAAAACAATAAATTTTTAAAAAGAAACAATCTTTCAATCAGGACAGACAGAGCCTAAACATTGGACATGGGAAAACAACGTCTTTATGAAGTGAAAGGTAAAAACAAAGATAATGATTTTTTCCCCCAAAAAAAACTTGCTGATTTTTTATTTTTATTTTTTAAATATATTTTATTGATTTTACAGAGAGGAAGGGAGAGGGATAGAGAGTTAGAAACATCTATGAGAGAGAAACATCGATCAGCTGCCTCCTGCACACCTCCCACTGGGGATGTGCCCGCAACCAAGGTACATGCCCTTGACCGGAATCGAACCTGGGACCTTTCAGTCCGCAGGCCAACGCTCTATCCACTGAGCCAAACCGGTCAGGGCTATTTTTATTTTTTAAAAAAATATGTTTTTATTGGCTTCAGAGAGAGGAAGAGAAAGGGAGAGAAGGACAGGAACATTAATGATGAGAGAGAATCACTGATTGGCTGCCTCCTGCCTGCCCCCTATTGGGATCGAGCCCACAACCCAGGCATGTGCCCTGACCTGGAATCAAACCATGATCTCCTGGATCATGGTTGACACTCAACCACTGAGCCACACTGGCTGGGCACTTCCTAATTTTTTTAAAAGCTTTTACTAACGTACCTTTTGGTCAAAGTTCAATCTTTTTAAAAAATATATGTATTTTTTATTGATTTTTTTACAGAGAGGAAGGGAGAGGGATAGAGAGTTAGAAACATCGATGAGAGAGAAACATCGATCAGCTGCCTCCTGCACACTTTCCACAGGGGATGTGCCCGCAACCAAGGTACATACCCTTGACTGGAATTGAACCTGGGACCCTTGAGTCCGCAGGCTGACGCCCTATCCACTGAGCCAAACCGGCCAGGGCTCAAAGTTCAATCTTAATGCTCATGCTTATTCCCCAGATACATGTTATGGAAGTACATGTGCAACTTCAGTGGATGCGTTACCTGAAGCAAGTGTCTCAAATACCTCGCTGTATAGCATTGCGCACATCAGCCACATAATACTTACCTCTCCAAATCCGCCTTTTCCTAGAACTCTGTAATGTCTAAATGTTTTCTTTGTTACTGGCTGCCTAAGTAATAAAAAAGAAGTTTCAGGTCTCACATCACATTGTTACTTTAAAGCAGAAAAGCCCACCGAGCTCTTGTCCCAGACTTAGTTATGGAGCCCTACTGGTCTAGGGGAGGACAGGGTGCCTGTGCTTGGGGACTGGGGCCCTCCCGGGGGACAGCTCTCAGCTGCACTCAGCAACAAGCACACGGAACATTTTTCACTGAAAACACTGATGACAGATGCAGAATGGTCCAGTCATCTTTACTCAGGAAAGACAAGTTTGCAACTCGCCCACATGGGAAGTATTATGTATTCCCAGGACCCCCTCAGGCCCGTCAGAAAGCTGCTGAGGAAAGAGGACGGGTCTACAGCGTGCTGTCCTTTGAAAAACCGGACATCTCGAAAAACATGTCTGAACTAGAACTGGAAAAGTGGTCAATCTATATACAGTAGGTCCTCGGGTGACATCGGAGATCCGCTCCTACGGCGACGTAATGCGATTTTCGCCGTAAGTCGGAACCCACCTACATGAACACCTATGTCACTCACATGGAGCACATACACACAGTAATGAAGGGAACCCGTAAACAAAATTTAAAAGAAAGATAACAATTCCTGACCTTTACTTGTGGTAAATAAATAATAAAAAACATAAAGCACATATGTACATACGTCGAAATGACGGAACTTTTTTTATAAATAAAGGGGCGATGGTGACGTAACCACGAAACGACATACATCGAGTTCGACATAATCCGAGGACTGTCTGTATGTAAAAGGCTAAGCGACTAGCCAAGCAACTGGCCGACCGGCCAACCGGCCGACCCAGCCGGTAGGTATGACATGCACTGACCACCAGGGGGCAGACACTCAACGCAGGAGCTGCCGAGCGGCAGCAACTTTGCAGAGCGCCCTCTCGCACTCTGGGACCCCTTGTGGGATGTCGGACTGCCGGTTTCTGCCCAAACCCCGCAAGCCAGGCCAAGGGACCCCATCTGCCGGAGGGACCCCACTCACTCCGCAGACGCCCTTTGAGCCCTGGCACCACCCCAGGTGCGGCTGGCCAGGAGGGATCACGGGAGGTTGGCTCCAGGGTGTGTCCGGTCCATCTTGCCCAGTCCCTCCCCGCTGGCCACCTTCTAATTTCCTTTCAATGTGCACGAATCTGTGCACCAGGCCTCTAGTCAATAATAATTGTAGCCCTGGCTGATGTCGCTCAATGGTTATAGTGTTGGCCCAAACACTGAAGTGTCACGAGTTCGATTCCCAGTCAACGGCACGTACCTGGGTTACAGGTTTGATCCCCGGCCCTGGTTGGGGTGTGTTCAGGAGGCAACCAATCAATGTATCTCTCTCAGGTCGATGTTTCTCTCTCTCTCCTCTCTTACCCCCTCACTTCCAATCTCTCTAGAAATCAATGGAAAGAATATCCTCACTCCTCGGGTGAGGATTAAAAGTAAAAATAATAACAATTGTAATAACAAGACTTGTGGCAGCTAATACTTTGTGAGCACTTACTCTGTACACGAGACTAGGAAGGCTAAGCACTTCACACACATTTCTCAGGCGACCCAGGCATCTAGTGGCGTGGGTCATGCGCACCTCGACTTACAGAACCAGGACCTGAAGCTCACAAAGGCTAAGTCACTTGCCTGAGGTCACACAGCTGCAGGAGGCCAGCACAGCTGCAGGAGGCCGCACAGCTGCAGGAGGCCAGCACAGCTGCAGGAGGCTACCACAGCTGCAGGAGGCCAGCACAGCTGCAGGAGGCTACCACAGCTGCAGGAGGCCGCACAGCTGCAATAGGCCAGCACAGCCTGAGACCCACAGCACTGTATGTCTGTGACCCTAGGACATGCTTTATTTTTCTAACTACTGCACCAAGAGGGCTGACAACCATTTAAAAAAGACAGAACAGAGTCAACTGAATGAGAAGAAACTAGTAACACACATTAATAATCTCTGTACAGAAATACCACATGAAGGCCAAGATTTCCAAGAGTACTTTGACAGATGGAAAAGTATACATCAATCAGGGTGAGTATGAGAAGTTACCATTGTTTTCACTGAATCTTAAGTGAGAACATACCTTTCCAGCCATTTCCACTGTAAAAATCGAGAAAAATATGGGCTCTCTTGGTATTCTTCAAATGGCTTTCCACTTAAATAGCGATGGACAACTCTAGAAGAAGATGGCGTGCAGTTACACCTGCTTCCTTACAACATGGAAACAGCTGTGTTAGTGCAACAGCAAGCCCTGGGCATGGGAAAGCCTATCACACACACACTGCTCAATACTGAATGCGAAATTACAGGAGTCACAACAGCTCCAATGCTATCAGTGAAAACAGGAAGGGAAGATTCAAAAGAAATGAAATCAATTTACCCTCCCAAAGTCAGAGGTTCTTTTTATGTATATGGACATCAGAGAAATACTTTACAAAAACAATCTATCAGTAAAAAGACAATAGTTTAAAACATATTCAAAGTGTGTGTGCACGCATAGGCATGTATATTTCAGGAGGGAATTTAAACATTTTGTAAATAAAATGGAGGAATGTCTAATTGGTAATAGTCACAAGGCAGAAAATGTTAATATGTGACACACCTGTTGTTTTAACACTGGAAATGAAGCAATCAATTATTTTATGCGACACACTTTCTCAAATTTTATGCAATTGGCCATTTATAACTCTATTCTAGAAGGAATAAAATGCTCACTTGGGGAAGCATCTCTCCCTGTCCTGCTGAGTGGGCTGCAAGCACGCGCCGATGCTGCAGGGAACATGATGCTGAGGTCCCCACAGGCTGAGACCTCTCAGGGGAGCTCGGCAGCAAAGCTGCATTTACAGTGACACTAAGGCCGCACGTATTCTGAACCCCATTCTCCCAGAGGGCTTTCCAGAGGCTGCAGTGTGACAACGCCGCGGCTCTGAGAGTGGGATGTTCGTGTCTTATTTTAAGAAGCACGACCCACATGAACAAAAGCTCTCCAGGTCCTCCACGCGTTTTAAGAGCGGACCAGGTCCTGAGAGGAAAGGTCTGAAACGGCCGCTACGTTCAATCTGAGAACTAAACGCTGCTCCGGAGGCTTCCCGGGCCTGCTCTTCACTTCCTCATGGACAGGCTGCTCCCGGACACTGGGGGCGCCTTCCGCGCAGGAGCAGGTGGGCAGCTCAAATGCAAACCTTTCTGAACCTGTTAAAGGACTCGATGCCGCTGTCAGCTACATCGTCTTTATCAAGGCATTTAAGAATTTCCATGAGAAGCACAACACAGACAGCAGCTTATTCTACAGGGTGAGGCAAAAGCAGGCTTACAGCTGTTCACATGGAAAATAATACAATAATTAGTAAATAATAATACAAGTCTAAACTCTGTTTCGCATACTCACCGCTGGAAGCCCAGTTTCCCTCACCTGTATTATATCTGTGTATTTCAGAGTCTGTATAAATCAATGGCTACCATCAACCTACCAGCGCTTCTCAATTCCACTTCCTCACACACCTACCTCAAAACAGGGAACTGCTGTTCGGCTCTAGTCTGGGAAATACGGCGACCGCACACATTTCAAACCATTATGACATTTGAAACTGCACAGCCCTGGCCGCGTTTCCAGTGGTTAGTGTCAGCCTGTGAAGCAGAAGGACCTTGGACTCGACTCCCAGTCAAGGGCATGTACCCGGACTGCACGTTCGATCCTGGCCCTGGTCCGGGTGCGTACAGGAGGCAGCCAATCGGTGTGTCTCTCTCATATTGACGTTTCTCTCTCTTTCCCTTCCTCTCTCTCTAAAATCATTTAAAAAACCAAAACATTTTATGGAAATCTTTTCATCCCAGACACCAGCATTTTGGAAGGCTGAGCAGAGGGCCAGGAGCCGGCAGAGTGCTGCTACCACCCTGGCCCTCCCATGTGGCTGCCTCCGTGGGTCCCTATGCAAGTGCACTGACGACTCCTCCCAGTGGAAGCGGCATTTCATTTCGACAGCACTCTGTAAGAACGGTCTCAGGCCCAGAAGCCTCCTGCAGGCCCGTCTCAGGGCGAGCCACAAGCGATGGGCAGGGTGGGCACAGCCCCTTACCTGACACATTCCTTGAACAGCTCTTTGGAGGGGATCTCCTTCAGTCGCAGCCTGCACGCTCTCACAACACGGGCAGAAATCCGTGGTAAAGGGGCTGCCGCGTTCTTTACAGCACAAACCAAAGACATGAAATTAGTGATTTCACAACTTACCAGTTATGAGCAAGACCTAACGCTTATTGTAAAAAATGAAAACACCAAGGGCATGAGGTAAGTCTAGGTGCCACCGTCACTCTGCCCAGCCTCATCTCCCAGGGTTCAGGGCGTCACCTTTCCCCGGGATATCAAAACAGATACTGCACCCCACGTCACAGCATCACTCACACAACAGCCAGAGGCAGGCGCGACCCAGGGTCCGTGGGTAGATGCGTGGGCCAACAAAGTGTGGTCCACCCGTTCAAAGGGCATTACCCAGCCTTCAATGGAAGAGGATTCTGCCACCTGCCACACATGAATGGACCTAGAGGACAGCTTGCTAAGTGAAATATGCCAGTCCTGGAAGGGCAAATTCTACAGGACTCCACTTATACACCGTCCCGACAGCAAACTCATAAAAGACAAAAAGAAGAGTGGGTGCCACGGGCTGGGGAGGGGGGAGGAGGAGCTGCTGTTTAATGGGGGACAGGGTTTTAGTTTCGCATGATAAAAAATGTTCTGGAGAGAATGTAGGTGACGGCTGTACTTAATGACAAATTTTATACAGTTTTTATCACAATTAAAAATGCAAACATACACACAAACGCTCAGAAATACACACACTTTTTCCTCATACAAATGGAATAAAAACTATGCATAGATGTCCCTCAATTTATGATGCAATTATGTCCCAACAAATCCATCCTAAATTCAGAATATCATAGGTCAAACCTACCTAACACGGTAGCTCAGCCAAGCTGGCCTGAACCGTGCTCCGAGCACTTACATCAGCCCACACCAGGGCAGCTATCTTCCACCGCCTTCCCTCTCTCCTCACAGAGGAGACACGGGGGAATTTTGTAGACATGATGGGACACGGAAACACAAAATAAAATATCCAGAAAATGCTGACAACACAGCACACTGTAGAGCAGATGTGGGGAACCCTTTTTCTGCCAAGGGCCATTTGGATATTTATAACATCACTAGAGGCCTGGTGCACGAATTCGTGCACTGGTGGGGTCCAGCCAGCTGCCCTCTCCCACCCCCCATTGCCCTCTCCCACCCCACATGGGGTGATGGGCCAGCTGGGGGGAGGGGCCACGGGAGAGCAAATTGGAGGCGGGGCTGGCGGGGGGGCAGGGCCTGGAGAAGACCCACTGAGCTGGAGCTGAGCATGGGCCCCAGGCCTCCCAGGGAGAGCAGCCTCGGCGGGAACAGAAACCACCAGAAGGCTCTGCGAGCACCCGCGCTCCCTCAGGCCAGGCGGGCTCACAGCTGGCGTCTCCGCAGGCACACGAGACACAGCCGGGCACTCGCCTTGGTCTGTTGGTCAAACCATCAGACACTGGTTCCCCTTCTTCTCTCTGGGCCCTGATAACACACACGGGCCCATGGGAAGACGCGGGCCCCACCAGCAGCCGGAATGGAGGCCTCAGACCACTGGGCCGCCGCCTCCACGGACCAGAACACATTGCTGTAGAGTCTTCATTCTCCCCTAAAACATGCCCCGCTGCTCCTCTGCAGCCGGAGGGACTGAACTAAGGAACCAAAGACGAGTTTCCTCTGAGGCGGGATCCACCGGGAGCCGCTGGTGGCGAGGCCCCTCCCAGGCGGCTGCCTGCCCCCCACGCTCGGGGAGCTCTGAGCCGGTCCGTTTCCGGCGGTGCCGGTCCGGCGGCTGGTCCACAGGGTTTCTCTCCGCTGCCTTCCCGGCCTCCTGAGCAGTCCCCTCCGGCCCGGCGCTAGAGCCGGGACTCGGAGCGAAGGAGCCGCACCCCCACCCCGCTTCTCAGTCTCACCCGCGTGGATCGGGCCAAAGCCCGCTGCCCAAGACTGGCACCACATGGGGAGGGTCGCAGTGGGGAGAGGGGCGCCCTGACCTGCCAGCCTTGGTGACGATCATCTCATCTCGACGCCCAGCTGACTGAATTCGTCCCACAGAGCCTTCACCTCAAGCTGCGCTCACACTGGCCACCTTCACGGGCGCCTTGGCAGCTGCAGGGCCCTCGGGCTCAGCCGCAGCCCCAGCGGCCGCACGTCATAGCAACCGGTCGTTCCAGTTGGTCTTTCTGCCGCATGGTCGCTGGGCTTTTATCATATAGATTCCCGGGCCATACAAAATCATCACCTTAGAATTAGCTGCTATATTTGGTCAAACATTTAATTAACTCACCCCCAATGCCTGGCAGGGCCAGAGCACGTGATCTCACGGGCCTTACATGGCCCTCAAGCCACATGTCCCCACTCCTGCTGCGGAGTGTCAGCTGTTGACCCTGTGATCGGTGGCACCATGAGAGCTTCGTCTGGCATGTCCCGAGCCAGAAACGATCAAACTTCGAAGTGCACTCTATGACCTGCCTAGCGCTTTTGCACACGGGAGGGCGGGAAAGCCGCGAGTCGGGGCTGCCTGCAGTTGTGTGTGCTGATGCTGGGAGCGACCGTGCTCTCTGGCGGCCGCCTGGCTTGGCAGAGTTCACCTGCCTATGAAGCGTTCCAGTCACCAGCTCTCTCCTCTTCCCACACCACTGCCACCAACACCTCTGCACACCGGTGTGACGGGATAGAGTCCTAGAAGGAGAACTACCAGCTCAAAGGACCCACGTTTTAAATGTTGACATTTATTACAAAACTGCCTCCAATAGGGTGTGTCGCTCACTCCACGCTCCCCGTGTGCCAGTTCCCCACTCTCTTCACCCCCCTCCCAAGGACTCTGGGAGAACACATAACAGAACTGCTGTCCACCTCATGCTCAGCTGCACGTGTAATTTGTCAGCAGAAAGGAGGCGTGCATTGTAGACTGATTTCTGCCCGTGGTATTCCTGCTACCAGAGCAAAACTGTGTGTTTCCTGTCAGTCAGACCAACTATTTCAGCAAAGTTGAACTATTAATAGAAATATACATTGAGAAAACTCACATTAAAAAGATTTATTATTATAATTGATCATCATGATTACTAGCTGTCATCTAAATGATCTAAAACAGGGGTCCTCAAACTTTTTAAACAGGGGGCCAGTTCACTGTCCCTCAGACCGTTGGAGGGCCGGACTATAGTTTAAAAAAAAACTATGAACAAATTCCTATGCACACTGCACATATCTTATTTTGAAGTAAAAAAAACAAAACAGGAACAAATACAATATTTGTATTTGCATGTGGCCCGCGGGCCGTAGTTTGAGGACCCCGATCTAAAACAAGCCCTAGCCAGTTTGGCTCAGTGCATAAAGCATCGGCCTGCATCCCAAAAGGTCTTGGGTTCAATTCTGGTCAAAGGCATGTACCTTGGTTGCAAGCTCCTTCCTGGCCCAGGCCCTGGTCAGGGCTTGTGCTGGAAGCAACCAATAGATGTGTTTCTCTCTCATCAATGTTTCTCTCTGTCTTTCCCTCTCTCTTCTACTCTTCCCTAAAAATCAATGAAAAAATATCCTCAAGTGAGGATTAACAAAAAAATAAAAAATAAATGATCCTAAACAAGTGAAGCCTTCACATGTGCGTATGTCCCTGAGCCTCACCGCCCCGGGTGGACGAGGTGTGGACCGCTGCAGCGCGTTCCCTACCCACAGCAAGAAGAGGGAGAGCAGAGACCACATCATGCTCTTGGACTCACTCCCCAGACCAGGCTCCCCTACACGCAGGCCATGGCGAGGGTAAGAGGGTTCATTCCTTCCACCCTTCAGGAAGAAGTCTGCTCATTCATTTACTCAACAAACACACCTTGTCCCAGGCATAGGAGACAACAGAAAACAAGACAAAATTTTCACAGAACATAAAGCCACCAAATTTCAAAACTGTCTCAAAAAAATGTATTTTTAAGAAATAGTTCTCAGGGTTTTCCGTAGTTTTAGGTCCTTTCCCAAGGTCTCAGTTTTCTGTAGCTAAATAGCAGATTAGTTCCATTACGCGGTTTAATGATTAACTTTAACTGGAGACTCTTTTCTCGGTAACTTAGAACATTTTTATTTAAGAATAATGTCTTCCCACAGAAAGGACAAGCAGTGCTGTGACCCTCCCTGAGCAGAGGCAAGGGAAGGCCTGCTAACCGTAAAGTCAGACAGACCTTCCGGGCCTTCAACTCGGGAACAAGAGTCCTTCTCAGAAGAGGGGGCTGTCCTGCTTTTTCAAGTCCTAGACGTGGAGACCTCGGATGGGAAAGTCCACTGGCAGAAAAGGAGGGGGGTGAACTGTGCAGACATAGGCTTCTTTTTCTGTGTTAAAAACACAGACTTTACTCTTTTTTTAAACTGGGCTGTCTTTATTGTTGAATTTAACAGTTCTTTCTATATCCTGGATACCAGACCTGAGCAGATCTTGGCTTTACAGATAATTTCTCCCATTCTGTAGGTTGTCTGTTCACTTTCTTTATAGTGCTCTTTGAAGCACAAAGTTTTTAATTTTGATCAAGTCCAGTTTATTTACTTATTTATTCATTTAAAAAAATGTTTTTATCCTTACCCAACGAGTGCTGAAATTTTTTCACTGATTTTAGAGCGAATGGAAAGGTGGGGGGGAAAGGAAGAGAGAGAGAAGTATCGATGTGACAGAGACACATGAATTGGTTGGCTCCTACACCAACTCCAACCGGGTGCAGGGATTGGACCTGCAACCCAGGTACCTGCACTTGACAGGGAATCGAACCCACAACCCTCCAGTTTGCAGGCCTGTGCTCTAACCACTGAGCAACGTTGGGCTTAGGTTGCTGTCCTTTCACTGTGCTCAGAAACCAGTCTAAACCAAGGTCATGAAGAGCTAACTTAAAAGTTTTTTACCTAACTTTACACCTCAGAGACGTCCACTGGGAGTTCTATGGCTTTCACTCTTCCATTGAAGTGTTCGATCCGTTTGGATGATGCTTTGTGTGTGGTGTGAGGTAAGGGCCAGCTCCATTCTTTTGCATGTGGACGTCCAGCTGTGCCTGCAGTCTCTGGAAAGGTGACTCTCCCCAGAGGTGTCGTAGGCTGTTGTAAGTCAGCTGACTGCAAACAGATGCGCTGGCTCCTGCATCAGTCCCGGCCCACTGATGGGGTGACTGTCCTTATGCCAGCACCACGCGGCTTCTCTCATCAGTTATTAGTTTCTGCAGAAAGGGGAGCTAGGGTTTCGGTCGGGATTATAATGAACCTACAGATCATGGTGGGGAGTGTTGTCATCTTAAAAATATCCAGTCTTCTAATCCATGAACATGGGAAGTCTATTTAAGTTCTTCAATTCCTTTCAATGATGGTTATAAGTACAAAAGTCTTGCACTTTTTATATTTACTCCTCTTTCTTTTGATGCTGCTGTAAATGGAATTGCTTTCTTAATTTCACTTTGGATTTTAATTGCTAGAAATACAATTGAATTTTGTATGGTGATCCAGTGTCCTGCAACCTTGACAAACTCATTTATTAGTTTTTTCTCCCTAATGTATGTGTGGACACCTTAGGGTTTTCTACATACAAGTGCTATGGTCTGCATGTATCCCCTCAAAATTCCTATGTTGAGATCCTCCCCCCCAATGAGACAACATTGAGATGTAAGGCCTTTGGGAGGTGCTTCGATCGCGAGGAGGGAGTCGGTGCGAGCCGGAGAGCCCCCGTGAGGACACACAGTGAGACGGTGCCAGCTATGAGCCAGGGAGAGGAGCATTTATAAGAAAGTAACGATTTTAACAAACTTGTTCTATTTATCCAATTATATAAATATGACTCTGTACTCTAACTACATAAGTAAGCTATTTACAAATCTTATATCTAAAGAAGAAAACACACCTCATTAATGAAGAACGTGTTTAAGACTAACTGTCCGCGCTCTCTTCGGTCCTCGTCGGGGGAGACTTCATATTCTGCCTGAGTGCAGAGATGACAGGGAAAGAATGTTAGCTGCGCTCCTCGCGGGCGTCAGGCGGCTGCAAACCTCTGGCTCTGGAACTGACTGGCAGCCACGCCCAGAGCAGCCCCTGTGCCAGGGCCTCCTGAGCGCTGAGGGTTAATGACACAGCAGAGCAGCACATTCCACGATGCTCGGTCTTATACTTTCAGCCACGAACTGTGGCCAAACAAATAAGCAGCTCACAGAAGTGCCCAGCAGGCACCCTGGACCCCGAGTGCAGTTCCCAGGGACTCAGTCACCCGCCACAGGGGCCGGGCCGGGGGAGACTGTCCCAGGGAGTCAGTCACCCGCCATGGGGGCCGGGGCGGGGGGGGGACTGTCCCAGGGACTCAGTCACCCGCCACAGGGGCCGGGCCGGGGGAGACTGTCCCAGGGAGTCAGTCACCCGCCATGGGGGCCGGGGCGGGGGGGGGACTGTCCCAGGGACTCAGTCACCCGCCACAGGGGCCGGGCCGGGGGAGACTGTCCCAGGGAGTCAGTCACCCGCCACGGGGGCCGGGGGAGAGACTGCAAGAACAGACAACGCCACACAGGCCAGAGGAGAGGAAACATTAAAAGTAGAACCTGACCAATAGCTACACATCTATAAAGGACAGGCAAGGAGGAAGAAATGGAAAAAAGGTAAGAGAAGAAGCAAACGAGAGGAGACCACAAAGGCCTGGCTGAGAGCGTTTCTAGAAGAAGCCACTCAAGGCCCACAGCCACGGGGACAGCAGGAGGGGCCGCGAGGCAGCCCTGGGCTTTGCAAGTGGAGAACTGAGACTATGGACCCTGAAAGCCAGATGGCGCTGAAGAGAAAGTGAGGAAAAGCAAAGCAAAGGAAGTTCATCTACTGAACACACAGAAGTACCCAGGGAGCGAGTCCTTGTGGGGGACCCCAACCTCGCCCTCCACTCTGCGCCCTTCACAGGCCCAGCGCGGGGATGCGGCTGCGCAGGCGGGTTCAGCGCGTGCTCCTGACTGGTGCGGGCACAGCGCTCACCTAAGGACCCTGCCAGCTTCCGGGATTAGTGGGAAGGAAGCACTGTGTTCCGTGGCAGTCTTTGGATGTGGGCAGGAACAACCAGTTACTCAAACACAAATGCACCACTGCTGCGATGGTGAGTGCAGGGCGACTCAAGTCTGCATCGCTGGCTGCACGAGGGAGACTCGCCTAGACAGCCCGGTGGGCCTGACTCATCCGCTGAAGGTCTTAAAAAAGCAGAGCGGAGTCTTCCTGGAAGAAATTTCTGCCTAAAAGAGCGGCCTCACCCCATTTTGGAGTCCCGCCCTGCCTTCCCAATAGCCTGCCTCACAGCGGGCAGACTCTTCCAGCCAGACCTCACAGCCAGGAAAGCCAATTCCTCTTAGTAAATCTCTTCACATCTAACTCCTAATGGCCATGTTCCTTTCACTGAGCCTGACTGATACAGATGTCATAGATCTCTGAACTCCTAAAATATAGCAGCTTGGCCCTAACCGGTTTGGCTCAGTGGATAGAGCGCCAGCAGGTGGGGGTTGGGGGGGAGGGCGGTCGTGGGTGGTTGGCAGGCCCCACCCCCTGGTCAAACTCCCGGTTGAACTCCCGGTCGAGGGGACAATTTGCATATTAGCCTTTTATTATATAGGATACGTTAGACATATCACATTCTACTAGAGCCCAGCAGGCAGCCCCACTGCATCAGAATTCTACCTTTAAAAGGTAATTGCCTCCTTCACAAGCCTCGTCTTTTTGAATGTCTAAAATATAGCAGCTTGGCAAATATAACCCAACCAGAGGCCCAGTGCACGAATTCGTGCACAGGTGGG